TGGCTGATGTGCTTATTGAACATCTTTATGATTATCTTTCTTGAACTTCATAATTGTTATGTTCACGTTTTGCTATATAGATATATAAACATGTGGCCTTCTTATTTGATGATTCTCTTGATGAATTAATTACTTGAATGTGCTTAATGGTATATTTCTTATTGACTTGTTGAGGATATAAGTGCATATATTTGATGACTTAAAGACTTTATGGTTACATATTCATGGTCTTAATGCTTATATTCTTGACAGATTTTGCTAACCATTATTTCTTAGGCTTAAGTGTTTAGTGCTCACTCTTCTTAATCTTTTTTATATAACAAAAAAAGGGAGAAGGTTTATGAGCAAATTTTATGCATATGTTAAGGGGCAGATTGAGAAGGAAGTTTAAAACATCATTCATAAATGCAAATTTGCTCAATGCTTTTGTCATATCAAAAGGGAGAGATGTTAGCTTTAAAATTATTATAGTTTTGATTATGACAAAATGATCAAATTTGCTTGAACATTATTTGAGTAATCCTTGACAATTGCTTGAATGATTTAAACTCCCATACATTTGTTCTTACATAGTTATAACTTGACTTTTGAAGTTATTGACTACTATTTATAACTTATATTATGATTAGGTGTATGAGTGCTTATGTTCCCATTCATTAAAGTTTGATCTAAAGATTAAAAAAAATTTAGATGCACTCATTAAGGGGAGTTTTGAATGTCAATTTTAATGATATAAAAAAATAAGGAAAGACTAAGTTAAATAGAGTTTGATTGGTCTTCATGTTTAATTTTTAATGCGTAATGCTTTGTTTTGGTTTTATTGAATATTATGTAAAGAAAACTAGATGCATTGACTAAAGGGGAGCATCTCATTGCGTATAAAGATTTGAAGCATTCATATTGAACATAGACATTACACTATTAATCTAGGAGTGTTTTCTCATCATTAAAAATAAGAGATAGAGAATTTTGACTCTATATGTTTCTGATGATAGCAAAATATTCTCATTCATTTGTGTCTAATTATATGTTTAAGTGTGCAGGACAAAAATGTACACCATTAATAAATTAATCATTCAACACATATTCAAAATTATAAAGATAAAAGCTATAAGTGAGCAATGAAATGAGAAGCCTCTAAGTTGAATAATCAAGGAAGTGTTGGATAAAACTCAAAAGAGAAGTTGGCAGGTTCAAGCAAATCGTGAACAAGAGAGAACTTATCGACCAAGAGACAAAGTTAGTCGACTAAGAGCTTACTGTCGAAAACTGAGTAGAGAGACAGAAACGACTCAATCGAACAAGAAAGTTGTCAGTCAACTCAGAAGTACACAGAAATACTCAAAGATAAAGCTTATTGCCAGAAACTGAGTTCAGAGATAAAGACAACTTAGTCGACTAAGTGAATACGATTAGTCAACTAAAAGCATTCTGTCTGGCAGTTTGAACTGAACGCTGAAAGACAAAATAACGACCAGATTTGCTCCAAACTGTTCCAACGGTTAAAATCTTCTAGCTGCCATCAAAGTTCATTTTTCAAGTATAAAAAGCCCTCCAACAACCAGAATTAGATTGAAGGCTTCCAAGATCAAAAACAGCTCAAAAACTCAAGAACACTCTGCATATTTCTGCACTTCATCCTAATCTTGTAATAAAGTTAAGAACTTCATCTGTACCATCAAAATAGGTAGTGATCATAGTACCTCTTATTTCTTTTCTTCTTGATTGCTTAGAATGTGCGAGACACTCTAAGGGGATTAATCAAGCTTGGGTTAGCTTGATTAAGTGCAAAGGTTCTAACTAAGCTTGAAAAGTTAGTTTTTGGGTTTTGATTGATCCCGGGAAAAACCATTGTTGAAGGTTGTGCCTGAGCCTTTGAAAAGTCATTGTTGAAGGTTGTGACTGAGCCTGTGAAAAGTCATTGTAAAAGCTTGGTGAAAGCTTGAAAATTTCACCGTTTATAGTGATTTGATTTGAAAAATCCTTGATTGAACAATCAAGGTAGTGGATGTAGGTTTTTGACTAAACCACTATAAATCTTTGTGTTTTATCTTCCCTGTTTTATTTTTCATTTCATTCCTTGTTAGATTATTCTTTATCTTGCATTTAACTTTCCATCATTAAAGTTAAACTTGCCCCCAAATAGAGGTCTAAGTTTGTAAAAGCCAAAAAGTGTTATTCACTCCCCCTCTAGCACATTTATTTAGGACCAATATTCCTTCCATCAAGGGTCGATCCTAGGCATTTTCAATAGTTATGTAAGGCTATAATGCCACAGGATCAACCTTTCATGCCTTATTTCATAAAATGCCTTTCCTTGGCTTTCCTTTCCTATTATTCTTTTATTCATAAATGTCACATAATCCACAAACATCAGAGGAAGAAATTCATGTCAATATAATTGGGAAAACTCATCCAACATTAAAATTATACTCGAGCATAACTCATTCACATAATACATTTAAACTTACTCAATACCTTACTTAAGTTTAAACAATATCTTGCATGAAAGGTTAGGGTTTCACACAAGACCTTTTTGAAAGAACACTGATTACTTGGAGGTTGTAGTGGACAACCATTACCATGAGGAACACTAAACTGATTCTCACTAAAAGCTTTCTTAACCATCAGTTTTTCACTTGCCAAGAACATCCTACTCCCAAGTTGAATAACCGATTCCATTTCTTTCTTTACCTTGTACTTTGCAAACACAAAGTTGATCACTCGTTGGCGTGATCTTCTTGGCATAAACACATCAACTACTATTTATAAACTTAAACTTAAATTTGCTCACCAAGTAGGATTCCTTTCTAACCTTTACTTAAGGTGTGGTCTTTCATGGTGGTATAGAATTGACAAGTAATATTTTGATTAATAATAGTTAACCAATTATTAGTTATAAGAATTTATTTGACTCAAAATAAAAATACAATAGCTTAATTGAACACAATAAAATAATAATAATTTATTTAAATTTTTTTAAATAGTTAAGAGATTTTTAGATATTATATCTAAAATTAATAACATGTGTTAACTTGAAAGATCTTTGAGATCTAACTTAATTTGATTATAAAAATCAATAATTTGAAACCTTAAACTCAAATAACGCAAGCACCAAAATTCTAGAACTTGACATGATTTGAACCAGTAATAATTTAGAATTGAAACAATTTGAACTTAAAATAATTTAAACTCAAAACAATTCAAATTTAAAAATGGTCAAATTTTCCTTTCGATTTCCCCAATTATTACTTCCAATCAAGTTGAAAATTGATGATTGTAAATAGGAATGACAACGATTTTAAGATACCCAAACTCAATTATTTGATATGATACCCAAATCTATATCCGAATATCCTAAAAACTATCCTTTAAATATCTTATTAAAATAAATTTAAAATAAATTTTTATGTATATTATTATTAAAAATTAATAATTAAAATTAGTTCATAAAAAAGATAAAATTAAAGTTTAAAATCATATTTATAGCAATTAATCAATTTTACTTAGTATTACACTAATTATAAGAAATTTATAAATAAAAAATTAAAAATTATTATTTATAATTAAATTCAAATATCGAATACTCTTAAGATCACTACTTCATCTCTATGCAAGCCCGTGATAAATAATAATTTTATTACTTAAATTCGATTATAAGATAACTTAAATTTTTTTAATTAAGCCAGGTAATGCAGGCCTGATTTAAGGGATCATTGACATCTGTAATTGTAAATTACCTATAAAGAAGAAATGGAACCTGGCTGTGAGTTGGGCTGAGCAGCTGGGCTTGTAGCGGTGGTATATAAAAGTTAAAGAGCGAGAGGGCGCCGTCACAGCCCAAACAAGAAGGCGTTAGGGTTTCTTTTGTCCGAGTCCTCGCCTCGCTCTCTCGATCGCTATATATGTTAATGATTATTGCGACAACAATTTGAGAGCGGGGGCTATGGAAGGAACTCTGTTCTGTTCCTTTTATTTCTTTCTTTCTTTCAAAACACTTATTGGATTTGCTTCTAATGGCCTAGTAATTGCAATCCTTTGATCTTTTGTATTGAATGGATCAAGGGATCTATCGTTAGGCCAAAGTGATGGGTTTCGTATGCGCAGCCTTCCTCTGTGTGTTCTCTCCCTTTAGCTCCGATTATCCGCCGTTTTTTGAGTTGGTTATTCGGTGACAAGGGAGATACATGCTTTTGTATCTTTGTTTTTAAACGGAAGGAGAGATAGAGAAAGGGTTGGAGCGTGATGGAGGATGATGAAATCAATCAGACGGATTCCCATTGATTCCGAGATGAGAACATAACCAGCTACTTCTGACTTCTGAAGCTCCTCCTCTCCTTTACGTCTCTTTTTTTATATTTGTTTTCTTATATGAAGCAACTGGGGCCTGTGATGTGATAAAATATTTGCTACTCTTGATGGGGTTTGCCTTTAAGCCACCATCTGATGATTCTTGTCCACCAAGATCTCTGAGGCCTTTAATCTAATTGATGTTTAGATTTACAAATGAAATCTA